ATGCATTCATACATACACACATACATATATATATACATATATACAAATATATATATGTGTGTGTGTGTGTGTATATATCTATTATATATATATATATATATATACATATATATATATATATATCCGTATGAATGTTAATATATATCAATATATAGCTGCGTCGACGACCACTTCAACCCCTATTGTAGATTGTTAATTTCGCAAAGTGGTCACAAAAACACGTACCTGCAAAAACACGTACCTGTCTACAATACACACGCACATCTCTCATACAAATAGAGGTTGATGTAAATGGTTCCCTCACTGACCTGTGTTTCATTGTATGGTATCAATATGTACGCGCGTAGCCATGGAATCAACGTACTGACATATACCCTTCGTAATTACATGTACTTGGTACTCCATGAATTGAACCACTCTCGCAAGACTCTTGGGCAAGCAATTATAAAACTACTACTACCAAATGTTCATAAATGATGTACATAATACTGACTCATCCGGGCGGAATCACTTTATTATTAATCACCACCCATCAGCGTCATGCAGCGTGGTTGCTGGCCACTCACTTCCGTGAGCGTTTGCCGCGGTCTTTGCTGGTGCCTCTACTCCTACTTCTGGACGCTCGCCGCTTGTGACTAGCAGTGCGTGCTTTCCCCTCAGCCTCTCTATCCTTCCCCTCCCCACTACGCCTACCCCCATCAGTACGTTTATCGCCACCACTACGTCTACCCCCATCAGTACGTTTATTGCCACCACTACGTTTACCTCCATCTCTACGTTTATCTACATCCCGGTCGTCGCCTCTGCGTCTCTTCGCGCGTGTAAGTGACCCGTCAATCTCCCGCTCGCTCTCGTCACTGCTGCCGCTGGAAGACTCGCTGCTGGCACTGCTGCTACTACTACTAGAGCTGCTACTACTACTACTAGAGCTACTGCTAGAGCTGGATGAAGACGACTCTGACCCACTATCCGACGAATCACTGGACTCAGCCTCCTGTTGCTGCTGCATGATGAGTTTGGGTGCGTTCTTGAGGTGTTCGCGCAAGTCGTCGGTCAGGCCACCCAACCCAATGGATGTGAAGAAGTTGATCGCGAAGCGCGTGTTGCGTGGATGGTCCTTGGGCAGAAGGTTGCGGAAGTATGGCGACAGGAAGGGGTCTTGCAGGCGCTCGTTTAGCTTGGCTAGTCCCATATGCTCGGTTATTTCCTGAGATGGCGCACGAGTGAGAGATGCGGTTTTGAGTGAATGAAGCCGTGCAACACGATTGCCTGGGGCAGCATGTATGAGAATGTATTTTCTTATTCTCGAGGTGACGATGGATGTGCCGAATGTATTTCCCATAAAATACACATGTATTACAGTGATGTCCACAAGTGATCGACAGTGTCGATTGGATTCAGAGTGCAGTGAGTGCATCCCTTGACCTTGTGCAGAGGTAGACGAGAAGGTTCATAGCCACACGCAGCACAGATGACTATGCAAAGACAGAGGGATATAAGCTTACTATGCAAAGAACAAGATGTAGTAGATAGCTACTCTACACTAGGGTCCTAGCCACAGATGACTATGTAAAGACAAAGATATAGTAGATATTTACTCTACACTAGGGTGCTAGCCATAGATGACTATGCAAAGACAGGGATATAGTAGATAACTATATATTAGGGTGCTGGCCAATTCAAGCTTAGCGACTAGAAGCAACGTCACTTGTCACATATATGATACCATGCACACAGCGAACTAAGGGCAGCAGATAGTCCAGTTCAATATACTAACCTGGACACACATATACCCGCGCACTCGTGCAATCTGGAACGCAAATAAACCACCGCACAGGTAAACCGAATACACACAACTACACACTCAAGTACAACCGAACACACACCACTACACACTCAAGTACAATCGAACACACACCACTACATACTCAAGTACAATCGAACACACACCACTACACACTCAGTACAACCGAACACACACCACTACACACTCAAGTACAATCGAACACACACCACTACATACTCAAGTACAATCGAACACACACCACTACACACTCTCAAGTACAATCGAACTCACACCACTACACACTCACGTACAATCGAACACACACTCACGTACAATCGAACACACACCACTGCACACTCAAGTAAAATCGAACACACACCACTACACACTCAAGTACAATCGAACTCACACCACTACACACTCACGTACAATCGAACACACACCACTGCACACTCAAGTAAAATCGAACACACACCACTACACACTCAAGTACAATCGAACTCACGCTACAGACCTGGAAGAACACTTTGATGAAGATACGACTCGACGCATTCGTTTCCTCTTCATTCAGATGCACCGCCTCCAGCGTAGTCCAATTCACCGCGTCTGTGACACGAATTGTCATAGAGCAGATCAATACAAAGATATGATCTGTTTGAAACGTCTAATATGTCTGAAATGTCGGAAATATCTGAAATGTCGGAAATGTGACATGAATGGAATGCTCATATACAGCTAATACGCTTTGGCTGTCTCCCACATCATCGTGTGTATGTTTTGAATGTGCGGGGGTGTACACGAGAAACCAGTCTGCAAGCAGTGGTAGGTATTTTACCGAAGCCTGGCAAACATGGTATGTAGGCGAAACCCAGCAATTAGCATACCGTTGAAAATTGCACTTTACACCTGATGGAAGTAGGCTAGGGTTTTTAAGGTTTAGGGGTTAGGGTTTACACAGCCGACCGGAAGGTTTGAAAGATAAGTTGCGTCTCTAAGCGCTGGCGAGCGCGCGATGTTTTGCAGCCGATACATCACCGGTTGTCTTATCATATTCATACACGCCACAGAAAAATGATCGCAGAACACCGTACATTGGCACGAAAACCTAAGTCATTTCAAGAACACATAACAATACAATGCATCACTTCCACCTCGTACGCTCGCGCCAACCACAACATTAAGTACCAATGGGGTACGCGCACGTGTCGCCGCTTGCGAGGATACCTCGATTAAAAGATAGGTAAAACCACGCAGGCTGTTGTGTACACCGATTTCCTTATATAAATACATATACATATACATTAATATA